GATCCGATTGCCCAGTTGGCGAAGGAACAAACAACTGCCACTGTGACGGCTAACTGGCGGTCCAGCAGAGAGAAAGGAAGTCCACCACTTTACGTGAACAGTTTTTTTTGCGCGGTTTCGAAGCTAATGTACACAAAAGCGCTTGTTTGGAATCGCTGACAAATCTTGTTTGTTGTTCCACTTGGGGGTTCGTTCTCCTGCTTTGTCGTGTTCGCTTGGCCATGAATTCATTTTTTTGCGGGGAAATTATTTTGACTTTTGGCAGGAGTTGGCTTCCAGGCCAAGAAACATGGGAATGATGGGAGTGTTTGAAGGACATTTGGAAGATATGATTGAGATGCTTCTACAATGTGGAGTTTCAGCATTAGAAAAAGAAGGAGCCAGAGCGGCTGCGCATTTGTCTCTCCGGAGAGAATACAAGGCAAGGTGATTCTATTGAAAGAGAAAAAAGAAGAAGAAAGAAAGGGAGAGAAAAGCACTTTGAGGAAGGCAAGTTGATTCTCTCGGAGTACAACAACCTGGGCGGAGCGAACTGGCTTGGTTCATTTCACTCCCTTTGTTTTAGAATTCTATGAACTTTGTATCCCTCTAGTGTGTTTTTCCATGCGCCTGGGCACGAATGTTGTGCCGCGACTCACACCCGGGTGCCCCGGCTAGGCAGGACCCCGGGTGGGGTGCCCAGCAGGCTCAGGGCGACATAAATAAATATTGAGAAGAAAAAAAAAAATCTGGCAAAAAAGCATTTGTTGTGTAGAATTGTAATGCAAACAACTTTTGGTTGAGGGTCACTTCACAATTCCAAATTGAATCCAAGTTAAAAGAGAACATACGGAAAACAAACTAAGGAACCCCCCTTTGTTTAAAGTTTAAACCCCTTTAACCCCTTTCACCCCCTTTAAGCACCCTTTCCCCCATCAACAAAAAAACATCACAGAGTTTTTAACTTTTCACATGCCTGGGGTACATCGGCTGGCCAACCTCCATGTGTGCCCACCCATGCACCCTGCTAGCCTAGGCATTTTTTGACTTTTCTGATTTTTTTTTTTTTTTTTTTTTTTTTTAATACAGTGCTCCATCTATTGGTGGGGAGTTTCTTGAAAATTTTAGAATTGATTTCATGTTTTTGAAAAAAAATTGAAGATTTGTCTTCAATTCTCTGATTTTTTAATTTTTTGTTTTTTTCTATTTTGCACCCTTTTTTTTGGTGAATTTTGAATACCTGAATTTTTTGTGCACTCTCAAATTTCTTAAGACCAGCAGGAGATTTATGTCAAAAGGGCCCCAGTGCCCAAGGCAGTACTTGCAGTTTAATATCCATCTCTAACAACCAGAAGCAAATATTCCATATTATCCATAGTGCCTACTCTACTACAGCTGCCCTCTTTTTGACTTTTGTTGGGAAATCCGGTCCAGTGTCTCTTTACATTCATGACACACTCAACACTTCCTTCCATTACGACTGAAGATCCGCGAGACAACGGCGTTGATTGCTTCCTTTCAAGGAAGGATTTACCACTGCCCTACCCCTGTAATGATGTCCTCATTACTGGCTCTTGTTTGCCTCTGGGCTGCCTGAAATTGCTTGTGTTCCTAGGGCCACTAGTACCTTTCCCGGTTGGAAAATAGGGAGGCCTCGGGTGGGCCTCCAATCTTGAAGGAGGCCGAAACGAAACAACGGGCGCCAATGAGATTTATCAACGGCGGCCGTCGCCAGCCCAGCCCCCGACTTCTTAGGAGTTTGGGAAAACTGCCAGTTTTGAAGTTTTCCCTATTTTCCCAACACTGGTGGAGGTACTTGTGCTGTATGTAGAGTGAGTCAACGACTTTCTATTTTTTTCCCACACAAAACACACACAACCCCTTCTATTCTGGGGGGTACCAGTCCTGTTGCTTATCACCAGCAAGCATAACATGCAGGAAAAGAAGGAATACAGGAAAGGAAGGCATGCTAGGTGCGAACGAACGGGAGACTGCCCCTGATACCCAGTCATCGCCCCCTTCCCCTCAACCATGAGTCAATGACATTGATTGTTTCCCTTTGGGAAGGATTGTCCATTGCTCCCGCCATTGACTGACTACGGTCTTCACCAAATAGAACACCTGGTCATTAAAGCCATATTTGGTGCAATTTCCAGTCTTGATACAGCTATAATGACCAGGGGTACTATTTGGGTGAAGACGGTAGGTAAATCATGGAAGTCAGGAAGCTTTTGGCCGTTTTCCGTCCAGTCCTCTTATTTCATGAGCTCTAAATGTTGTCCTCCATGTCTATTCTAATCTCTACCATCTTGGGCTGCACCCGCACGCCCGCACGTGTCCTCATTTAGGAAACAACTAACTTGGGCCCCACTCATGCGTGTCCTCATTTAGGAACTACCTTGGGCTCCACCTGCCTGGGTCCTCATTTAGCAACCAAGCGCCAGTTAAAACCGAAGCTGAAGGGGTGTTAACCTTGATCCCTTGAGGGGACTACTCTCTGCTGTTAGTTAATCTTGTCAGTCTTAGACCTCCTCCCTCTTGAGGTGCTGACAACGCTACGAGTAACTTCATACTGTCTGTTAGGCAAACTAATTCTTCTATTCAATTACCAATGGGCCTAGCTCAGTTGGTACGCCCCCCGCCCTTCCCCCCCCCACCCCCCCCACCCCAAAAGAACCCAAGATCAAATCCACATGCAACCAGATGAATTCTTCTACTCTATCACCTGTCTCGAGAGAGGGAATTCCAATGCATACTTCGGTTCTGCTGTTAGTACGCTGCTGTTAACTTTTTTTTTTTTTTTAATGAACAAATGCTCCAGTCTATTTGTGGGGAGCAGCACGTGCTGGGAACCGGGCCCAGCGTCCCATATCGAATTATACAGATCATTGAGAAAATTTGAGGTCTTTCAAGGACATTTGAGATACCGGGGCCATTACCCGGCTTCTGCTGAGAACAAACTGTGGAACAGAGTCCTACGAATGCTCACTACTCTCAGGTTCCCTGACAAACCCTTCTAAGACTTCCCGACACTGTCTTACTCCCTGCTGAGTTCTTCCAGGCCTCACGCCCCCACCCTGCTGGGTTACAGGGCAACACAACTCGCCCCAGCTCTGACCAGCGTCATCCCAGCAGCAACCCTTGGTCGTCCCTTGGGATGCCCACCCCAAAGCATCCCCAGATCTCTCTACCAGGCCTCACGCTCCTGCATCAGCACGTTACAGGGCAACACCCCAGCACCGGCCAGCGTCGTTCTGGCATCGAACAGCCACAGATCATTGAGTATAACAGCATCAAAACTGCCTAAGATGGATTACTAAGAAACCCTGAAGTCCTAAGACATTCATAAGAACAACTGACTTATGTGTGTCAATAAGCCTCCACATCACGCTGCTGTTAACTTCCTGACTGTTGTTAGGTGGTATAGTTAGTCATTTGTTCAAACCAAACAACCTTTCATATCATGATGATTGGATCTGAGAATTCAAGGGTAGCGTATCCTAACCCTTAAGCAGCATTGGCCGAGGGGGGAGGTCGATGGTCTGCTGCGCGCCGGATCCGGGGTTGAAGTTTTGAGGAGGGGCGGTGGATGAAGGTGATGCAGGGCGGGGGAGTGTGCAGAGGGGCGCGCGTACCGAAATGTTCACAGCGCGCCATGAAACAAGAGAGCGCGCTCACGGGGCCAGGCGGCGGCGGGCGTAGATGCGAGCGAATATCTTGAAGCGCCCGCCGTTCGATAAGCGGCTACGAGCTTTCTTTTTCTTTTTTGTTTTTCTTTTTTGCGGCGTCACGTGACGGTTCTTTTTTTTCTTTTTCGCGGTTCCCCGGTCTGGACTCTTTCGTTCCCCCCGCGTCTTGCGTGTCGCTTCCCGGCGTTTTTTAGTTTTCGTCCCATTTTCTTTGTCGTCGAGTCGCTTCCCGGCGATTTTTTTCTTTTTCTTTTTCACAGCGTCGCCCGATGGTTTTTCTTTTTTTGTTCCCCGGTTTCAGAACTCTTTCGTTCCCCCCCCGTCTTTCGTGTCGCTTTCCGGCGTTTTCGTTGCCCCCTGTGTCGTTTTCCGCCGCCGCCCATCAACTGTCACCCACACACACGCGCCTGCCGTCGCCCGCGACTGTCGGTTAGTTATAGTTCCCCCCTCTCGGTTCAAAAGGCATTCAGGCGGGTGCACGACCATGCGCGCCCGCCCACTCACTCACACACACGCCCGCCCACCCACACCCACACACACACGACCCACCAACCCATCCACCCACCCCACACTAATATTATATTATGGAGTTCACTGCTAATGGTTGCTGTTGGGGTTTGAACCCACACACAGATTTGAAATACACAACTGCCTGCTCTGATACCTCTCAGGTGAGCCGGGTCCCTGTGTGGTTTTGGGGACTGTTTTTTTATGAAGTGTATCCGACGTCAGGCAGCTGGCAGGTCAGGATGTGCCTGTGTCCAAACCCTAACGTTGCACAGTGTGGCAGGCGGGTCCAGTCCCGCAGTTTTCAAGTGCCAACTTTGGCGATTTTTAGCGCTCAGAAAAATAAATGAAAAAATATGTAAAATTAAGATCCTGTAGATTACATTGTGATATTTCCAAGAAAAATATCAAAAAAATGAAAATAAAAAACTAGACCGTGAAATAAATGCCGCGCCGTGTCGTTGCATTCTCCATTTTTGCCATTCTGGCATGTGTTGGCGAACAGGAAAAGTACCCCAACCTCCGGGATTTTTTGCGATCAGAAAAATGACTCCACAACTCTGAAAATTGAAGGCCATGTAGGTTTGGTCGTGGTATTTCCAGGAAAAATATTTAAAAAGTTTAAAAAAATATTTAAGATCGTGAAATAAATACTGCGCCAATTCGTCCTGTATTCCATTTTTTGTGCTTTTTGATGCTCTATCACGTGTCGGGCAACTGGAAAAGTACCCCGACTTCTGCGATTTCTTGCGCTCAGACGGATGACTCCACAACTCTGCAAATTGAAGGGCCTCTAGATTTGTCTGTGATCTTCCGCGAAAAGTATTTAAAAAGTTAAAAAAAAAAAGTAAGATCGTGAAATAAATGCCGCGCCAAATCATCTCACTTCCCATTCTTGCCACTTTACCACGTGTGGCCCAAAAGGAAAACTACCCCAAATTTAGCGATCTTTCGTGCCGAAAGCAAAACGTCAAGAAATCTGAAATGGGAGGGTATGTAGATTTCGACGTGATCTATTCAGGAAAAATATTAAATAAATAAATAAATATCATTTCAACTGCGAAAAAATATCACGACGGCAATTGGACGCATGTACATTTTTGCCGCTTGCCAGCTCACCCCACTGTGGTACCGGTAGCCCTCATGAGCCTGTGCTACCGGTTCCCCCGAATTTCAGAAGGAGGGGGTAGTGGTGGTTTAACTATTTATAAGGGGAAAAAAAAATCATGGGCACTTCTTAGGGGGT